GTATGTTTCCCTCCACTTTAGAGGGGTAGGCGTACGATTGGTATAATGATCTCCCTCATGAATGCATCGACTCATGGAGAGAATTGGCTACCCGCTTCCTGACTCACTTCGCTGCAAGGGCAAGGACGAAGAAGCATTTCTCCTACCTGTTATCTGTTAAGCAGGGCATGGATGAGCCTTTGGGCAAATTTCTGGAGAGATGGAATGAAGAGACCTCCAAGGTCTATGGAGCTGATGATAACACCCGCCTGGCCATGCTCCAAGAGGTCCTATGGACCGGTGGCTTCTAAAGGAGCCTCATCATTGATCCCCCACGGGATTACCAGCGGGCACTCCACCGTGGGCAGAATTACGCCCTAGCGGAGGAAGTGCACAGCCGCAAGAGGGCGCAGGAGAATACCACAAAGCCCCAGAAACAGGAGCAGAAACAGACAGAAAAGCCAAAGCCACAACGGGAAGATAGGCCTCGTGAGGACAATGATAAGGACCGGAATAGGGGCCACTTCAAAGGCAAACGCCCCTGGACAGGTCCCAAGCTCCTAGCCCCCGAGGTCGTGACGCCACTGACCCACTCTGTCAGCCATATCAAGGAGGCCGCAGATCAGGAAAGGCTGGTGGTTCGTGACCCACGAATCAGCGAGGTCCAACAGCGGGACAAATCAGGACCGTATTGCAAATTCCACAAGTTTTATGGCCATGCCACTGATGAGTGCCACATGCTTAAGCTGGAGATTGAGAAACTGATCAGTCGTGGCTACCTAACACGTTTTGTACGGAAACCAGAATCCGGCCAAAAACGTGGCCATGAACACAAATCCCGAGATGAGGAACGAGATTCTGAGCATTCCCCTCGCAAGAAGGATATTGGATTGATCTCTGATGATGATTCGTCCGAGGATAACAGGCGTAACCAGCGGCGCCGACATGAGGTCCGGATGATCATTGGAGGAAATACCGGTGGAGACACAGCCGCACAAAGGAAGAAATGGAACAATAAGCTCTATGTGGGGGAAATCACAGCTCCCCACCTGCTACCAAAAGGGCAAGGTCGGATATAATCTCGTTCACCGACCGCGATTGCCAGACTTCCCTTCCCCCCATAGGGACGCTCTGGTGGTGAAGTGTGAGGTGGACGCGGCTATCATCCACCGCGCCTACATTGATACCGGTTCATCTGTCAACATCATGTATATACAGACGTTCCATGAGCTAGAGCTGCACCTCAATTCTTTGAGGCCCATCCGAACTCCCCTCTTCGGATTTACCGGTGACTCCATAGACACCGAGGGCACTATTGAGCTCGCCATTAAGTTCGGGGACGGAACTCACCACTCCAGGATCCCTGTGGAGTTCGTGGGGGTGCCACTCGAGTGCGCTCACAACGTCATTCTGGGAAGGCCCGCACTGGAGGACTTGGAGGTAGTGATTTCCATGCGGCACCTCTGCATGAAGTTCCCTACTGAATCCGGGGTCGGTTATTGCAGAGGCAGCCAGAAAATAGCCTAGTCTTGCTACACAAAGATGACAAAGCGGATGGCTGTTAGGGATATGCGCATCAACACTATCTCACAGGCCGCGCTTGAAGAGGAAACTCCCAGAGCTGTGCCTGTAGATGCATTGGAGACTATTGTCCTGGATGAGTCCAATCCCGAGAGAGCTGTTCAGATTGGGACAAACCTAAAGCCAGGATTGAGGCAAGCAATAATCTCTGTTCTTGTAAAATATAAAGTTGTTTTTTCCTTAGGCCCCGATGAAATGCCGAGGATCAGTCGTGACATAATCACGCACAAGCTATCCGTGGACCCAAACGCAGCGCCAGTCAAACAGGGCAAGCGGTACCTGTCTTCGGATAGAAGGGAATTCGTCAAGGACGAGGTGACTATGCTCCTCAGCATAAATCACATCACCGAATTCGAATACCCGGATTGGCTAGCGAATGTTGTCTTGGCGCCCAAGCCACCAACATTTCGCATGTGTGTTGATTACACCGACCTCAACAAGGCCTGCCCGATGGATCCGTTCCCACTGCCAAACATCGACCAGCTCGTTGATGAAACAGACGGCTGCGAGCTCATGAGCTTCCTGGACGCCTTCCGAGGCTACCACCAGATTTTCATGAACGAGCTCGACGTCCCAAAAACAGCTTTCATGACCCCAGAAGGCATCTTCTGCTATCTGGTTATGGCGTTCGGGCTCAGGAACTCAGGCGCCACCTACACACGCATGGTGGCCAGGGTCTTCAAGGCTGTGCTAGGCAGAACAATGGAAGCGTACGTGGATGACATGATAGTCAAAAGCCGAAAAGCCAGCACACATGCCGAGGATCTCGAGGAGATCTTCAAAATCATGAACAAGGTTAACCTCCGACTGAACCCCAAGAAATGCATATTTGCAGTTCAAGGGGGGAAATTCCTGGGCTATATGATCAGCCAGCGTGGAATTTAGCTGAACCCGAAGAAGGTGCAGGCCATACTCAGTATGGAGCCGCCCCGAAATGTTAAAGAGGTCCAGAGATTAACTGGGAAATTGGCGGCCCTCAACCGATTCCTTTCAAAATCAGCCGAGCGTGCGTTGCCATTCTTCCAAATCATGAAGAAGTGTGCGAAATTTCAGTGGACTCCCGAATGCCAAACAACGTTTGACGACCTCAAGCAATATCTCATTTCTCCGCCAGTACTATCAAAACTTGAGCATGGAGAAACATTGTACCTCTACTTGGGCGTCAGCCACGGGGCCGTGAGTTCGGTCCTAATTCGCGAGGAAGATGGAGCTCAGAAGCCCATCTACTACATAAGCAAAACTTTGCGCGATATCGAGCTCCGGTATTCCCCGGTAGAGAAGACCGTACTCGCAGTAGTATAGACTGTGAAGCGCCTAGCCCACTATTTCCAAGCCCATGCCGTACATGTTCTCACCCATCAACCACTGGGTCAACTCATGTGGAGCCCCACAAGCTTAGCTAGAATGGTCAAATGGGCTGTTTTTCTGAGCCAATACCAGATCGAGATCAATTCGAGACCGGCCATTAAAGGGCATGCCCTCGCTGACTTCGTGGCAGAATGCACTGCCAGGAATCTGGCCCCGGTCACCTCAACTGACGAGGACGGCTGGTGGACACTGCTCACTGATGGCTCTTCAGCAGCCAAAGCCTGCGGGAGGGGGGGGGAGTTGTACTCATCAACCCCGAGGGCTTCCGAGCTTACTATGCTATACGCTTTGAATTCAAAGTCTCCAACAACGAGGCATAATATGAAGCCTTATTATCTGGCATGTGCCTTGCAGCTAATATGCAGGCGGGAAAGCTGAGGATCAAATGTGATTCAAGGCTCGTGGTTGGGCAAATCAACGGCTCCTGCGAAACAAAGGAGGCGAGGATGAAAGAATATAAAGCTGATGCACTGGAACTCCTGGGAACTTTCCAGATGTATGAAATCCCGCAGATACCGCGAGCTCAGAATCAGGAAGCTGACATCCTGTCCAAACTGAGCTCGGACACTCCCGAGTACATCTCCAAGATAGCTCAAGTGGAGGAACTGTCAACACCAAGTATACAACAGACTCTCATACACCAGGTACAATCTGTCCCAAGGGATTGGACTACTGACCTAAAGGAATAAATTGACAACGGGCAACTACCCCAGGGTGAGGCCGAGGCCAGACTCGTTAAGCTCCGAGCTCCGACCTACACCCTCCTCGATGGCGTGCTATACAAAAGGTCTTACAATGGCACGCTCCTACGCTGCCTCAACCCCAATGAGGCCAAACTGGCCATGGAGGAGATCCATGCTGGGGTCTGCTCAGCACACCAAGGCCCTCACTCGATGTCCAGAAAGCTCCTATTGCAGGGATATTTCTGGCCTACCATGGCGAAGGACTGCGCCCGGATGGCACACACTTGCAATGCATGCCAGCAATTCCAGAACGCCCCAGGACGCCCAACAGTGAACTACGCCCCCATAAGCATGGCAATCCGATTTTCCAGATGGGGCATAGACCTCGTGGGACAACATCCCCGAGGCACCGACAACTGCAGGTGGATCGTAGTCGCTATTGACTACTTCACTAAATGGATAGAAGCAGAACCACTGGCCAACATAATCGAGGCGCAGTGCAGGCGATTTATCCACAAAAATATCCTCACTCGCTTCGGTGTGCCACATCAGCTCATCACTGACAATGGCATAAAGTTCGAGGCCAAACGTTTCCAGGATATGCTGGCCAGCTGGGGAATCAAACACACTGCAGCCTCTGTCGCTTACCCTCAGTGCAACGGACAGGTAGAAAATGCCAACCGCACTATCCTGACATGCTTAAAGAAGAAGCTCACAAACGAAGGCGGAGGCTGGGTGGATGTTAGGGACCTGAACACTACCAAGAATTAGAGCCTTATTAAGTCATTTTAGTTTTGTTCAATAACAGGGTTTAGGCCCTATAACTTATTAGAAGTGGGCTGGCCCATTAGAAATAGAATAAATAAGGGTGAGTGGGGATTAGATGGGGGGGGCAGAACTTGGGATCAGGACTGGGATATTGGGAGTGAGAGACCACTCGAAGAGTCTCAAACCTTTCCTTTCGTGACTTTCTGTATTCCTTCACTAAATTTTCATTAATAAACTACTACTTTCTTCTTGGATTCTTCTGTTACTTATCATTGGTATCAAAGCCATTGACAAAAGCCTTACCTGCACATGGTCTTGACCCGATCGAGAATGGAGCAATGTGTGGAAAATCTGGAAAACACCCTAGCGGAAGTGAGAACTACCGTGAATGAACTGCTTGGCTTGCGTGAGATCGTGGCCGAATTGAAGAATATCATGTTACAGGGTGACCGCCATAAGAGAAGAGGACGATCAACCACAAACCATCGTCGCCATACTTCTGCAAGCGTAAGCTCCTCTAGTTCTGAAGGTAAATCTCATGAAACTCACTCAGTTTCACGCAGCCCTTATCAGAAGAGAATCAGCGACCGTGTATATACTGGAAGAAAGGTTGATTTACCACTTTTTAGTGGAGACGATGCTTATGGATGGCTGATTAGGGTTGAGCGCTATTTCAAACTCAACCATGTGGCAGAAGAGGATAAAGTAGAAATAATCTTGATAGCCATGGCCGGAAAAGCTCTGAACTGGTACCAATGGTGGGATGAACAGACTGATGACCATTCTTGGGTTAACTTCAAAGATGCTTTGTTCCGGCGTTTTCAACCTGCCTTAGTGCAGAATCCGTTTGGTCCTATGCTCAGTATTAGGCAAACTGGTTCTGTAATGGAATACCAGGATCACTTTGAAATGGTTGTAGCTCCTCTCAAACTTGCTGACCAAGGGATGTTAAAAGGAGTGTTTCTCAATGGCCTTAAAAAAGAAATTAGCACGGAACTGAAGTTGCACCAGACCAGTGGGTCAACTGAACTAATGGACAAGGCTTTGTTGTTGGAGCAGAAGAATAAGGTGTGGACAGGGAAAAAAATAAAGAAGAAGACAACATAGGTTGGAAGGAACAGGGAGGAAAAATGGTTAGACCCTGGAACTGGGTAGACGCAACAAAGGGAAGAACACCTGCGTTAAATCCGAGAGAACACTTTCAGAGAACAAACTGGAGGAATCGCCAAAACCGAGTAAGACATGGGAAGGTGGCCAAAGGTTGACACAAGCAGACTTAGAAGAAAGAAGCAAGAAGGGTTTATGCTTCAAATGTGGAAACAAATGGGGCAAAGAGCATGTTTGTGGAATGAAACATTATCAATTGATCTTGAGGGAAGAGCCAGAAGAAGAGGAGGGCACAGTAGATCAATTTTATGAGTGGGATGGAGCTGAAAACTTGCTGGAACCTAATGCAAAATCAGTCTCTTATCATCCACCTTGAGGACAAGGTGGAAGTTAAAGGGGGGAGTGATGTTAGGGACCTGAACACTACCAAGAATTAGAGCCTTATTAAGTCATTTTAGTTTTGTTCAATAATAGGGTTTAGGCCCTGTAACTTATTAGAAGTGGGCTGGCCCATTAGAAATAGAATAAATAAGGGTGAGTGGGGATTAGATGGGGGGGCAGAACTTGGGATCAGGACTGGGATATTGGGAGTGAGAGACCACTCGAAGAGTCTCAAACCTTTCCTTTCGTGACTTTCTGTATTCCTTCACTAAATTTTCATCAATAAACTACTACTTTCTTCTTGGATTCTTCTGTTACTTATCAGTGGAGGAGCTCCACAACATTCTGTGGGCTTACAGAACAACTCCCCGTAGAGTAACGGGCGAGACTCCATTCTCACTCTGTTACGGCTTTGAAGCAAAAGCCCTTACAGAAGTCCAATTCCAACCCCACGGGTCCTGGCGTACAACCCCGAGCAGAACGAGCAGAACATGCTAGTTGATCTCAACTTTATTGATGAAAGGAGAGAAAATGCATTCTTGAGGTCAGAAAATTATAGACGCCAAGTCAAAAGCTACTATGACGCTCGAGTCCGAGGTCGGGAGTTCCAAGTGGGGGACTACGTCCTCAGGCGATGAACGGCCAGCCAACCCAATGAACGGGGAAAGATGGCCAAGAAATTCGAAGGGCCCTACATCATAACAGCTGTAGTCCGGCCCGACACCTATAAACTGAGCACCCCAAAAGGCACGGAGGTTCCTAGATTATGGAACGTCCACCACTTAGTGAGGTACTACCAGTGACCCAGCGCTGTAAAGAAGACAATAAGCCCTCGCCAAATGGAGACTTTGCTCACTCACTAGCATCGGAAATCCGGGGTCACTGATAGCAAATTCAGCCGTACACTGTAAGCTGTTCACGGCTGCCAACGAAATCAATAAAGGAAGGGTTTAAATAAAGAACTCTCCCTGGAAGCAACTTGTAAGCCTTCCAGTCCGCACTCAGCAATAACATAAGTTGGGGCAACTTAATAAGTCCCCATAGCCACAGGCTCTTCAGCCCACTCATTCCGAGGCCACTTTGTAAGACCTCGGCGACAATAGCCCCAACGACTGTAAATTCTAAGGTCACTTTGTAATCCCTCAAGGACACAAGCTCTTCAGCCAGAACTCCAACGAGCTGAGGCAACTTTATAAGCTCTCGTAAGCCCTCGTGGCTCTTCAGTCTACAACCGATTCTCCGAGGCCACTTTGTAAGACCTCCAAAATCTGGGAACAACAGCCTCAACGGCTCCCGATCTCCGAGGCCACTTTGTAAGCCCTCTGCAACCAAAACAGGGATAATAGCCCTACGCGGCTCCCAAACGAAGAAGCCAAGGCATCCGTATAAGTCCTTGTTCCTTCCTCACAAAACTAGCTGGGATAATAGCTCAACGCGGCTCCCGAATTTTGGGATTGAGGCGATTTTATAAGCCCTCGCACCCCACGAATATGCATCTCCCCCTTTAACATTGAAGGCGGGGGGGGGGGGGGGGGGGGGGGAGATAGAGGCGCAATGCCGAAGGCTAGACTACTTGACGGTCCTGACCTTGGTCGAGCACCTCTCGCTCCCGACCCCGCCGAGCTCTCGCACGAATCTCGCAGCGCCGAGCTCTGGTCCACATCTCGCGATCTGGGAGGAGGTCAGCTCCCTAAATTGATGGCGCTACGCCAAAGGCTGGGCTATTTGACGGCCCTGACCTAGGTTGAGCACCACTTGCTTGAACATCAAAATAGTCAACTAATAGCTGAACATTTTGAGAGAATGAATACCTGAACTAAAGTTAAAGACTGTTATCCTTGTTATTTTACAAAAGCTGTTTGATTTTACTATGATTCAGTTCCAAGGAAACTTCTACTTTTTTAGGCCAAGTTGATTCAATGCTATATACTACGTATACAAATAAGGTATATACAAGCAAATCAAAACGTGAAAATATCAAAACCAAAATTAAAATCTAGCTCATAATATTCCATCTGCAAGCAAATAAAAATGTGAAAATATCAAAACCAAGCTTCTAAATAAGATCAAGCATCTACATCATAATTGCAAGGTTTAACCCGAAAATACCTATTCATAAGGCAAAACTTAATCTGAAGTAGAGGAAATAAAAAAGAAAGAAATATAGGCGTACCAATAGATGATGTTTTCGTAGAAGAGATAAAATAGATAATTATCATATGGAAAAACAAAATTATAATGGTGATGGATAGTGTACCCGGGGGGTAGCTTATCCGAGGGGTTATTACAGGGAGTAATAAGAGAGAAGTCAGAGCAAGTAAATATAGAGAGAGAAGGTATATTATAAAGTGTGGAGCGTTTTCAGCGTTTATGACTTGGTTACAAATGGGGAAAAGGGGTGCTATTTATAGTAGCAATAAATGCCGGACAGGGGCACGTGTCAAGCGTCCATTGGCCGAGAGGTCACCTCAACTGGTTGGCGCCGGCAGCCGCATGTGGCCGCATTTAATGCGGCTGTTGGATGGGACGTTGTACAGGGTACGGTGATCTGTACGCATGTGGCGTGGATATTATGTCGGGAGAGGTGCCTTCGGCTGCAGAGGACTAGCCGAGGGCTCTGAGTGCCGGGGACCCCTGGGTGCTGAGGGCTCCAGGTGCCGAGGGCTACTGTTTTCTGCCGTTTTTCTCCCAGTTGCTTAGTTTGCTTGAGAAACCCGTTCTGTGAGAGTTTAGAGCCTTCGGCCAGGGGGACGAAGGCACCCCTGGTGCGCATTGTGGGCTGCTTGGTACTCTGGGCGCCGTGATTTGGGCCTGTTGGGCCTTCTGGGCCTGTTGGGCCTTTACTGGAGTAGTAGGAGTCTGTGGGCCGGGGGTTCCCGGGCCATATACTCCATCAGGAGTCACTCACTCCTTTTGCCGAAAGGTACTTGAGGGAAAAGGAGTAATTTGTGTTTGTCCCCTGCCGAAGGCAGTCCCTCAGTTACCCACATGTCGGGACTTGAGGGATTGCTTTGCCGCCTGTTGGAATTTTTCACTTTTTTTGTAATTTAATGATTTTCCCGAAGGGGTTCTCGAGTCCCCCACTCCTTGAGGCACTTGCAAAGTGGTGAAAAGGAGTAGAGTAGTTGCGCTGCTGTTGTGGGCCGAAGGCTGACGCTTTTCGTTTCATTTTGGGGGGATGCCTCGTTAAAAACCTCATTAGGAAAAACCCTGTGGGAAAAAATCCTAATGAGGGAAAAAGAGTGCACCGAATTCCCCCAACGATGAATCGAAAATGTGAAACCTTGGTTCAAAATGGAGAATAATGATGATGCCGAAGGCTCTCCTTGTTCTGAGGGCTCATGTGTTGATTAGCCGGAGGCTTGTTGTTGATGTCCTGGGAGGTGCCGAAGGGGAGCCCCTCAATCTGGGGATCGAGGGCGTGATGGATGAGGGCAGTAGTTGAATTGTTACCGGGGTGTCCCCTGCTCGTTGATTAGTTGGTGACGAGGATATCCGAGGGCTTCCATTACCTGTGTGATGTAGGCTATCCGTCAATGAGGCATACTCCCCGGGGGCTACCCGACCCTTACAGTGCTGAGGGGGAATCCCCGAGGGGTGGCCTGATATGAAGCCTTGGGCTTCTGAAGGAGTGATCCCGAAGGCGACTGTTATGTACTGTGTGGGGCACAACCCGGGGGCGTGATGGTAAGTGTACCGGAGGCTCTCCTTGATGAAGTGGAGCGGAGTAAGAAAATCCGGGGGCTCTCAGAATATAGCCGTTGGAAATATAGCCGTTGGAATATGTACCGTCAGGATATAGCCGTGGGGGGGGGGGGGGGACACGTGGCGCGTGATGGTTGGCTGTCCGTGGGCGGCGTCACCGGTTGGGCGAAGACACGGCGTGTAATGATGACAGTCCATCCGGAGGCCCGGTTTCCAGGCCCAAGCCCGGATTCCAGCGCCTATAAATACCCATGACCGGGCTTCCTTCCCCTTGTGCGAAATCCTTATAGCGAAGCTCTGCCAAATTTTCTAGAGAGAGAAACAGCAGCCCTCGATCAGATTCTAAGGTCAGTTCTCCATTCGCACTTCACCTCTTAGCTAGCTGTCTTTGTGGCCTTAGATTAGGTGGGTAGCTTAGAGTACTTAGCGTCTCCGAACCCTCGACATAGTATAGCAATGTCTTCACAGAGTGATTCTCAAGACATCTCGGGGGCGCCCTCGATGGAGGATGAAGTCCTCTCGGATGTGGAGTCCTCAAACGAACAGTCCTCGGCCCAGGAGGATGTTGCGATGGCAGTAGAAGTGCAGAAGGAGCTGTTGGCGGAAGTTGAAGCCGAGGGCTTCGAGCAAGAGGTGGAAGACGAAGAGCTGGCCCTCGCCATGCAGGTTGCAGAGGAGGAGGAAGCAAAGGAGAGGACGAGGGTGACCGTGGCTGTCCTTCCCCCTCGGG